ATAATAAAATAAAATATAATAAAATAAAATAAAATATAATAAAATAAAATGAAATAAATTCAACCAAATTAAATTAAAATAAAATAAAATAGAAAAGTAAAATAAGATAAAAGAAAATAAATTCAAATACAATAAATTAAAATAAAATAATATATGAAACATACACAATCAAACAAAATTAAAGATATTAAATGAAATAAACGGAAATATATAAAATGAAATTATAAATAAAAAAAAAAAAAAATTAATATAAAAAAATACATAAAAGGATAAAAAAATAAATTTATATTAGTAAATATAAAAATTTAAACAACAAAACAAATTAATAACAAACAATAACAAATTTTGCAAATTAATTTAATTTAAGTAATATGCAATGGACTAAAAAAAAAATTTAATATAGTTATGTGAACAAATATATAAAAAAGATATTATAATATATAAAATTCAAATGAAAATCAATTTAGTAAAGTAAAATAAAAACAAAAAAATAATTAAAACAAAATGTTGTTAAATATATACAAATAAAATAATGTGGTGTAAAATTTAAATAAAATAAATTTTAAGAAAAAAAAAATAAAATTGTTATTATAAATAATCAAATAAAATAATTGGAAATTATAAAAAATTCAAATAAAGTCATATAAACATATAATAATATAAACTAAAAAAGTTATATATGTGTAAAAAACGAACGAATTTATTCAAGCTAATATTAAATAATTTTTGTAAGATTTATTCATAAAATATAAAATGAAGAACAATATTTAGTTATTAAGGCAATATATTTACAATTTCTTTATACAATTATATAGGACAATTATATATTTTACAATTTATATATAAAAAAAGTTTTATATAATGTGTGGAAACGTAAATAGGAATATCTATTTACTGAGTCATATTGTTATAGTAAATTTAGCCAAAGCAAAGTTTATATTTAAATAATAATAATATATATTTATAAGTTATATAAAAACTATATTTAAATATGTAAAAAATTTAATTAAATGAGTTTTATTAAAGACTTTTAAAAAATATATTTCTAAAAATAAGTAATAATTAAAGTATATATTGAAAAAAAATTTTACATCTTTTTTAAATATGTAAATTTTAAATCCATAAACAAATAACTATTGCATATAATATATTATATATATAATAATTTATTTATATTTTTCATTAGTTATTAAAAATAATATTTTATTCAGAAGGATTTTACATAAATTTTAATATTATGAAAATTTTTTTATTAATTATGTTGGAAAATCTATTAATAATAAGTTTATAGTTTGGGTTATTTATACTTACGAAAGAACTTTATAGTTGCATTTATATGTATATTAACAGTTTTTATATTACATTAACTTCTTTTTAGATATAGACAAAACTTGTTGCTTGAACTCTCATAATGTTAACCATTGATATATAAAAGTTAAACAATCCAGTTAAAGACGAATTTATATATGTACATATATAAATAAATATTTATTTAGAATTATATTTAATGTAATAAAATAAAAATAACTTTATATAGAAGAAATATTTACAATATACGGAATTCATACATTTTAGAAACCAAAATTAAATATTTGTATAAATAATTGTAATGAAATGTTTATCAATTTTCCATTTCATATATAAGCATACACAAGCCTATTTAGGACACAAAAGTATATACATTTCGAATAAATTTTAATAAAAAGTATTAATAAAGTAATTATTAAAAATTTTACAGAAGTGGTTTTACTAATGAAATTATTCAAAAATTATGAATAAATTATTGAAGCTATGGGATACACAAAAGTTTTTTAATCAGTTATATAAGATATAATAAATACCATATAATCAAACGGGTCGATGCCAATGGTTAGCTGAACACTTTTAGTGCACTCTAAATGAGCACTAAAGTGCATCGTTTTTTTTTTCAGATAGTGTATCTTTTTACGTTCCCAAATTGAAAG